GAGATAAGAATCCACCTCAAGGAGCATTGGCGTGGCAATCACGAAATTTTGGTATGTTTTTGTACAAAAATATTGCCGGGTTAATTGCATTAAGCACCCGTGTGTTTATTCTTGTTGAAAAACTCACCATATGATTCAATTTTATTAGCATACTACCCCTAAAATTGCACTATTCATGGTGTCGTCTGCTAAAAAATGCATTATAGGGGAATTTTTACATATTTTTTAGCAATTTGACATAATACAGGGGTGCTGAATGCAATACATTAAAATATTAATCAGTACAACTTTTTGAGGAAAAAATGTCATTAGCCCTCTTGATTAAACATAATATTTGTTATTTTTTTTTGAAGGTGATGCCTCTTATGAAAACATTGACCTTCAATGTCATATGCACACTCATATTCGGAATCGAAAGGGGGGCAAGAAGAAATCGACTAGTAAAACTATTCGAACACGTGATTGATGGAACTTTGGCACTGCCAATAAACTTGCCCTTCACGCGCTTCAACAGAAGCCTACGTGCAAGGTCCGAGATTAGAGACATCGTTTTGGAACTTATACGTGAAAAGAGGGACAAATTGGAAAATCAAGAAACCCTAGATAATCATCATCAAGATCTCATCACTAGATTTCTAAGCATGAGTGACGTCGATCAAGCTAATTCGTCGCCTCTGCTCTCCGATGAGGAAATAGTGGATAATTGTATTGTTGCAATGACTGCAGGGCACGACACAACTTCTATACTCCTCGCTTTCTTTATCAAACTCCTGTCAGAAAATCCACACGTTTATCAAACTGTCCTTAAAGGTTGGGTGATTTACACTAGTAAATAATTTCAAGACTTTTGAATTACTTAAGAATGCCTAATTAAATTGTCGGGTTTTTTTTCTTTTTTTTTTTGTTCTCGCGTAGAACAAGAGGATATTGCAAAGGGGAAAAGTGGGTCCCACGACGAGCCACTCACATGGGACGATCTAGCTAAGATGAAGTACACCTGGAGGGTAGCAACTGAGACGTTGAGAATGTATCCACCGGTATTTTGCTCCTTCCGGAAGGTTCTTCAGGATATTGAACTAGGAGGATATATAATCCCCAAGGGGTGGCAGGTAAATTTATTGATCGATAGAATTACAATTTATTCACCGATAAATAAATAGACGAGATTCATATATATCTAGATGCTTTTATCGAGTAGGTTTTCTGGACATCATTGATGACACATATGGATGAAACCATATATCCTGACCCGTTAACTTTCAATCCATTGCGGTTCGAGAATCAAGGGGCAACACCGTCTTTTAGCTACATAGCCTTTGGAGGCGGGCCAAGAATGTGCCCCGGATACGAATTTGCGAGAATTGAAACCCTAACCATGGTTCATTATTTGGTTACCCGATTCAAGTGGAAGCTCTCTTTAGAAGAGAACCTCTTTAAGAGAGATCCCATGCCAGTTTTCATTGAAGGGCTACCTATAAAAATAGAGATCAAGAAAGCCTTGTGATATATGATGCAATATAATGTAATTAATTCGTCATTAATTGTACGCATAAGAATATGTTGACTTCTTCGACTCTACACCCAGTGAAAAACACTATGTGAGTCTTCTGCTAGCACGTGTCTTTTTTGCATTTTATAATATATTCCCCCAATCGGGTTAACCTGTAAAGGTTATAGAAAAATACAAAAAATGATACGTGACAGCAAAAGACCCACCCGGTGTTTATCACCGGATGTAGGGTCGAATGAGCCGTATATATTCTAGGGTAAACTTCATTTTACCTACCTGAACTATACCCAACGTATAAAATACCCCCCTGAACTTCAAAATGAATCAAAATAGCCCCTCCGTTTAAGATCCGTCTGCTCCTGATGATGTGGCATTTTGACTTTTGCATTAATAGTTATTTTAAATAATTGTTGCATGTGTTTGACATTTTGCCC